CATGCCTATGCACTCAGCCCCGGGCCCAGACTCGTGGAACTCTGTTTTCATTAAGAACTGCAAGAAACCCCTCTCGTGTGCCCTAAGTACACTATGGAGGAGGAGCTTGGACATGGGTGAAATTCCACAGTCACTTAAAACAACGGATATACCCCCACTCCATAAAGGTGGCAGCAAAGCATTAGCTAAGAACTATAGACCAATAGCTCTGACGTCCCACATCATAAAAATCTTTGAAAGAGTGCTAATAAGCAGGATTGCAAATCACCTGGATTCCCAAAATCTGCACAATCCAGGGCAACATGGGTTCAGGGCAGGTCGCTCCTGCCTCTCACAACTACTGGATCACTATGATATGGCCTTGGATGCACTGGAAGAAAATCAGAATGCAGATGTAATATACAGAGACTTTGCAAAAGCATTTGACAAATGCGATCATGGCGTAATAGCCCATAAAATACGTGCTAAAGGAATAACTGGGAAAGTGGGGAGATGGATCTTCAACTTCCTAACAAATCGAACACAAAGAGTAGTGGTCAACAGAGTTAAATCGGAGGCTGCCATAGTGAAGAGCTCTGTTCCACAAGGCACAGTACTCGCCCCCATCTTATTCCTTATCCTCATATCAGACATAGACAGAGATATACACCACAGCACTGTATCATCCTTTGCCGATGATACTAGGATCTGCATGAGGCTGTCATCTGCTGACGACGCGGTTAACCTCCAAGAAGATATAAACAAAGTTTTCCAGTGGGCAACGGTAAACAATATGATGTTCAATGAGGACAAATTCCAACTACTCCGTTATGGAAAACTGGAGGAGATAATAACTAGAGCAGAGTATACTACTGACTCCGGCCATACAATAGAGCGGAAAAATAATGTAAGGGACCTGGGAGTAGTAATGTCTGAGGATCTCACTTTCAAGGATCACAACAGTGCCACGATCGCACGTGCAAAGAAAATGATAGGATGGATAATGAGAACTTTCAAAACGAGAGATGCCAAGCCAATGATGATCCTTTTCAAATCACTTGTTCTCTCTAGGCTGGAATACTGCTGTACATTAACATCTCCATTCAAAGCAGGTGAAATCGCAGATCTAGAGAGTGTACAGAGATCCTTTACTGCACGTATAAGTTCTGTCAAGCACCTTAACTACTGGGAACGCTTGGAAGCACTTGACTTGTACTCGATGGAACGCAGGAGGGAGAGATATATCATAATCTACACTTGGAAAATCTTGGAAGGAATGGTCCCAAATCTGCACACAGAAATCACTCCCTACGAAAGTAAAAGACTGGGCAGGCGATGCAAAATGCCCCCAATAAAAAGTAGGGGCGCCACTGGTACACTAAGGGAAAACACCATAAGTGTCTGGGGCCCAAAACTGTTCAACAGCCTCCCATCAAGCATTAGGGGAATTGCCAATAAGCCCCTGGCTGCCTTCAAGAGAGAGCTAGACAGATACCTAAAGTCAGTACCGGATCAGCCGGGCTGTGGCTCGTACGTTGGACTGCGTGCGGCCAGCAGTAACAGCCTAGTAACAGGCCCTGATCCATCGGGAGGCCTGGTCATGGACCGGGCCGCGGGGGCGTTGATCCCCGGAATAACCTCCAGGTAACCTCCAGGTCCAGGTAACCAAGCTGTAAGTACTATCGGCCTACATTATTATTATAAGCAAAGGGGAAGCACTAAACCCGTAGGATTATACAGCTATCGGCCTACAGGATGACACAACTATCACAACCCAGCTGATTCGGCACGTGTAGTAAAGCCATTCCAAGAGAGAAACGACACTGTAAAGTTTGTGGAGAACAGGACACACACTTGCACTATATCTTAGAACGTAACAGAGTAGACAGAAGAAACTTAGGACGACGTTTTGGTCGATCCTGGACCACTGTCAAGTCACAGCTCTCCTCTCAACACCAATTTATGTGGTTACAATAATAACTTTAATTTTTAAAGAGGTGAATCGGTAAGCCAGAGGAAGGCCTAAGTCTTATGACCAATAGCTCCAGTGACGGTTCAAAATATAACCAAGACCCGTGTCAGGAAACATTTAACCTGTTTCCTGACGAATCATACCTAACTTAACCTAACCTCTCGTAAGTTCGGGGGTATGTTATTTGTGAATTGTTCCATCCACGGTATTGTGAATTTTAATTCTTCAGGGTACACAGTATTTACACCAGTAACATTTACCAATAATATCGATATGCTGTAAGGGTAGCTAGTGTCCCCCAAAAAAGATAGGGGTAACTGTCACCAATGGCCTGGACAACATGAAGGCCACACCACACTAGGACTGACAGTACGACTTGACTCACGAAATCGTAATGACACGATTGCAAACAAACCATACCCCGGCCGGGATTGAACCCGCGGTCAGAGAGTCTCAAAACTCCAGCTCGTCGCGTTAGCCACTAGACCAGCTACCCACAATAAGATTCGTCCAACTAGGTATATTTCTACACCATAGGAAGGTTAGCACAGGCACCACTGTGACCACAAATGCACGTTTTTACAGACGAATCCACTGGTTACTTCACGAGTGTCGTACCAACATCCCACAGAGACAAAATTAAATAAAAGCAAAAATATATAATTTAGTTAAAACATGCTTAACTTTTTCCTTACACACGTTTTCAACTGCATCAGCATTACTGGTACCTTTAAATATATATATATATATATATTATATAATATATATATATATATATATATATATATATATATATATATATGCAATAAGATCACAGTAAACAGATGATTTCAGAATATGCAAAACAACCACTCTGAAAGAATAGAGAAATTCCAAGCGCTTTCGTGACTACTTACATTATCAAGGAACTATGATAATGTGAGTAGTCACGAAAGCGCTTGGAATTTCTCTATTCTTTCCGAGTGGTTGTTTTGCATATATATATATATATATATATATATATATATATATATATATATATATATATATATATATATATATATATATATATATATATATATATTATATATATATATATAATATATATATATATTACTATATATATATATATATATATATGTGTGTGTGTGTGTGTGTGTGTGTGTGTGTGTGTGTGTGTGTGTATTTATGAATACGATGACATTTAAAGGAGGTGACTATGCTGGTGAAGGGCTCTTGGTCAACGAATTGACACTACTTTTCCCTTCCTCGGATCAAACTTGATTGTCTACCGTTTTCCAGACGCTGTATCACCTCTATGCGATTAGTGCTTCTCTTTAAATAAAATAATAATATAAATAATGATACACACGAATTAGTACTTTTAAAAAACTCTCATCCGGCTTGTTATAGCATGAGATTACCATTATTGAATAATAAAATGAATTTACCATACTAACGTCAGAATACAAGAGTAAAAATACAGTTTTATTCAGGGGAAAAAATCGGTGTATTCGCAGTCCGTTTGTTAAAATTGTTATTTTTTTTATCAACAAAGGGTGATATAGGGCGGTGCGGTTACTCTGATCTACACAGGAAGACATGTTTACCTAAAACATCCATTATATACGACTTTTTTTGTATCAGATTATTACAATCTGGGGAAGCGCGAAATCCGTAGGGGTCATACAACGTATGGGGAATAGGAATCAATCAGGTTCGAGTCAAGGAAGGAAAAGATAGGGCCACTTCTTAACTATCAGATATAGGGCATTGTACGGCTACCTTTCACTTTACATACCTTCACGCAGGTTATTCATACACTGGATTCACTGTATTATCTGCAAGTATCACTAAATCTTTTTCATCGTGACTGGAATTAAATTTTTTAAATGAATTCATTACTCATGGCAATGATCAAAACCCGTAGTTTAATACCACTATAACAGGATAGCTAAAAATTTTGGGCCCAGTCTCTGAAACCATTATGTCTCTATAATCTTTTTGACTTCCGCCCACGGTATGGTTGAAAGTGAATAAAAACCAATAAAAGCAACCCATCAAAAACTGAAATATTTTTACTCATTTTGAATTAGCACTCTTTCTCCCAAAGATATGATTCTGTGATCCTTCCGCAGACCCAGAAATATGGAGAATAAAATACCTGGTTTTAGCATTGGGGAACTTTCGGTATCAATTTTCTCCGTGTGTATCGGAATGGACACCGTACTTGCTAAACCAACAAGGACGATACTGGTGAAAAAAGACAAATGCAATGGAGGCCTTGATTTGTATAACATTTCACACAACACTGCGCCTTTTCAAGTACATAAAAAGTGGATTCCATTACATATGTATCTTTATTCAACTACTATCGGCATCCTGACACTGTCTCCACCGAGGATCATACTGCCTGGGTATTGGGAGGAGCCAGGGTATAGTCAGGCCTAATCCGAGAAAAGGGGCGGGTTATTCCAATTCCTTGGATCAAGAGCCCATCGCCGGTATTAAGGCACCCCCACACGAGGCTAACTGTTGCTTTTCCATCAAGCTTATACAACACCTGAACCTCTTGTGATGTATGGTCCATATAAGAAGAGTTTTTTTTTTTTTTTTCAATATAATAACTACGCATGTTCCAGTCGCTGCACATTCCCAGAAAGGCATCCACGTATTTTACAAGCCCAGCAACTTCTACCTTAACGTACAGGGTATAGGGTAAGACACCCAGTATGTTTCTAATGCAGTTAAATATTAGTATTAAAGATGTGAAGCCTATCAAAAAGCGCCATTCACATGCTATCACATGGAAATTAATATTAAATTTTCTTCAATTAAAATGGCATATTGACACCTATACAGCCCTAGAATCAATTCGAACCTTCCACGAAGACACAACAACCAGCACTTTAATTTTCAAAGCACTCAGATGTTACATTATAAAGTTATCAGCGTTTAAGATTTGAAACAGAAAGTCTGAAGTATTCACAAATTATCGCATGAAAACCATTATTTAAATTTTAATAATTTCTTCAATAATTAAAATCGGAATTGTGAAAATAAAACTTACCATTTAAGGATGCTTTCCTGCGAACATAGATAAAGACCACTGTATGCATCTTCAGAATCAGGAATCTTGCCTAAGAAGATAAAAAAAATGAACTTACGTTCTCTCGAAAACGTAGAATATAAAGAATTTTCAACAGGGATTCAAATAACATATCTTTTCATTTTTTATTAACATATGGGCCGTTCCCTACCAAGGCAGGGTGGCCCGAAAAAGAAAAACTTTCACCATCATTCACTCCATCACTGTCTTGCCAGAGATGCACTTATACTACAGTTATAAAACTGCAACATTAACACCCCTCCTACAAAGTGCAGGCACTGTACTTCTCAACTCCAGGACTCAGCACGGCCTTCCGGTTTCCCTGACTCCCTTCATAAATATTACACTGCTCATACTCCAACAGCACGTCAAGTTCTAAAAACCATTTGTCTATTCACTAACATGCTCACGCATGCCCGCTGGAAGTCCAAGCCCTCGCACATAAAACCTCTTTTGTCCCCTCCCTCCAACCTCTCCTAGGCCGACCTCTACCCCGCCTTCCCTCCACTATCTATGATTTTAAAATAAAGTAAAACGCTTTTTTTAAGCCATAGAGTTGCAGGCGAATGGCACACTCTCCCACTCGGTGTTGTTAAAGCAAGTACTTGAAAAAAAACTTTGTAAGTTGGACCTGCTCCATGAGTTAGTAGGCCTGTTGATCTTCTTATTCATGTGTAAATGGACATCCATGTGTTTGAAGAAACATGAGACTTGATAATGATCGAGGACGGACCGAAATGCCATCTAGTTTTTTTTTTTCATTTCCGACCTGTGAGTCATTTGTGACTTGCTCCAAATTTACGAACTAGGATATTATACTCTAAAAGTCGCTCACAAAGGTCAAAATAGCACATGAGGGAAATTTCCCTCCTCCTGTCTTAACATGGAAATTTATGTCAGAATCGCGAACAAGCGATACAGGATGAAAACATTCAACTCTCTCTGTGGTTGTTTTACATGGTATGATAATAAGTTAACATATGCCTAAGAACGTTCAGTTACAGCGTCGGCTCATTAAAAAAAGATAAAGCGTATTCCCGTTGCAGGAAATGTTTACATCCATACTTCTCCTTAAGTATTAGATAATACCAGAAGACACGAAAGTGGCATTTTCTTATTAAATGGGATGAGAAGCCTACAGTAGTTCAGGTGAGCCAACGGTTACTTAACCACGATGACTTATTCCCAACACCGGTACATTAATCAGTGATACCCAACACCGGTACATTAATCAGATACCCAACACTGGTACATTAATCAGTGATACCCAACACTGGTACAGTAATCAAGTGATACCCAACACCAGTACATTAATCAGTGATACCCAACACTGGTACAGTAATCAGTGATACCCAACACCAGTACATTAATCAGTGATACCCAACACTGGTACAGTAATCAGTGATACCCAACACCAGTACATTAATCAGTGATACCCAACACTGGTACAGTAATCACTGATACCCAACACCGATACATTAATCAGTGATAACACCGGTAGGTCAGTGGTTACTTTAATCACTGAGTGAATCACCTAACAGAAACCCAGGCCAGGAGACACTTTCCAATTTCCTGACGAACAAAGTGCCCAGCCAGACGACAGACCTGGTAAACCAACCACAGACGGGAAGGGAGGCATCAGCCTGTATAATCAAGAACTAACACAATGCTTAGCTTCTGAACACGTTAACACAACTGCACGGTGAATCCTAGTGTGGGAGTGAATTCGCCGAATTCTATTAGCATTGCGGTTTGTCAGAATCCACATAAGTGCATGAAACCCAATTATTTCTAATAGCTACATGCCCGCACAGATTAAACCTCTCGAATTCCGAGAAACACTAAAAAAAGAGCATGCATGGTGCGTGTCTGGGAAAGTTAATGGATTTCGGGAACTTGGGTGTATGATGAAGAACTGATGGTACAAGCCAGAGTCAGTCTTCTAACTTAAAATGTTACGTGTGTGGGTGAGAGGTAAGACTCGACCACCACACAGCTGACCTGGTTAGTCAGAGGTATTTCCTGACCATCAGCCCTTGTCAAACTGCCGTAACGTTACCCCATACCTCTACTTGCGGCTGAACTAGCCTCCTTCACAGGACTTCCTATAGCAGGTAGTGCTTTGTTCGTCTGGAAAATCTCTTGACGTGAGTCTTCGTAAGATGATGACCCGCTTATCGATTAAGCAACAGCTGACACACCAGTGCTCTGTATCACTGATGTAGCAACCACTGGCTTACCGGAACTAAGTTGTCCGCGTCTTATAATTATAGAAAGGCTTGGCACAGTGTCCTAGCAAGCTTGCTTCACAACACATACTTTAACACGCCTACATTCACTGAATATCATATAACATACCCGTGAGAACATAATGTTTAGGATACTGATAGATGAATAACACACACGTGCAACACTTCGGTATCTGTACTGTCGAAACATTGCGCCTGCGCAATAGTTTTCTTCAACAAAATGCATTAGTATATATAATGCAGTGGAGACAGTGTTACATATGTCTTTTTCATCAGCTTGTC